ATATAATGTACATTACAGATATCACCTAGTATGAAGTTTAGTCATGCATTCTCACCCCCACCCACCAGTTCCTTGTCCTAGACAAAAAATAATGTCTCTTTGGAGGCTAGCTAGCAGCTGAAGATGTAATATGTTTGTGTCTGATCGACCCCCCAGATCAGATGCTAGAACTGTTTAATTCCAAGTTCAGTTTTACAATGAAGACCAATACAAAAACAATCCAGCACTTGCATGTAAACATTCTAAGTATCAATAAGAATATCTGCAAACCAATAAGTTTTAAACATTCCTACAGTATCTTTCTGTACCTTCTGCCTAAAAGAAATCTTCCTTTCTCCACTGTTGTTGCTTGCACTAGATCCCTCTCTGATCAAAACATGGGAAACAGCTGTGTTTATATGAATGGCTATAACCTTTCATATACAGATACAGGGCCCCTTTACATATGCAGGTAAAAGTGCAATGCAATCCAATACACGATCCACTCAACCGTGATTCCTGCCATGCCACACATGTATAGCAAGAGGCGTGATTGTGGGATCGTACACTAGATCCCATCATGCCTTACTACCAGTGCAGGGGCAGCCCGAAACTGGGCTCCCCCTGCACTGGCAAGAAGCAAGCTTCCATGGCCAGGAAGCTTCCTTCGTTTGAGGGGCTCCAAGTCATGGGGATGTCCCACACTCCCCTAGGGTGGGGAACCATGGCTGCTGTGATCCCCCATGCCTAAGGTTTCACACACCCCTGAGGCTAGGGGGTTGCAGGAGCCACAATCCCCCAGCCCTGGGGTCTTGCGCACTCCCAAGGCAGCCACATCCCCCAGCTGCCAGGACCAAGAGCCCCCCTCAGTTGCAGGACTCCTAGCCCTGGCTGGGCATGGTGCACCCCTGTGGTCTGCAGCCTTGTCAGCTGACAGGGGCTCCCAGGTGCAAGGAAGGTCATACTACAAGAGCAAATTAAAGCTTGACAGCAACCAGCTATAAAGTTAGTGCAAATTTTTTAGATCTAATTTTACAGCTGGTTGGAAATTTTTGTGGTGTAATAACTACTTTGCACATGTAGCTTGTATCAAGGTAACGGCAATTAACCAGTTAATTGCATGATACCTATAATGTATAGAAGGGGGTCACAGACCCAAGGCACACAACTCATTGACCTCAAAACCAAAAACATAATGACTCAGTCTACATAAAGACAGATCATCAATTAGAACAGTGGTGCTCAATTTTTTGTCCCTGGGGGCCAGATGAATAGCAGGGGACCCATCTGCAAGCTAGATTGGGTCCTGGCACTGCCCCCTCCTGGCCCCGCATACCTGGATTGGATCCCGGAGGAACTGGCACTCCCCTTGTGCTGGGATTGGGTTCCAAGGACTTGGTGCCACATCCTCATAGCCCCAACCAGGACTGAGCTCCTGGGCCCAGTGCCACCCCCTCACATCCCTCTGTGCATCAGAATTAGGACCTGGGGCCTGGCACCACCGCTGCCCAGCCCTACATGGCAGGATCGAGTGCCATGTGCAGGGCCTGGGGCTCTCTGTATCTAGAGATTTGGCAGCAAGTAAGTGGTGCCACCACTCTCCTAACACCAAATTTCTGAACTCAGAGAGCCCTGTGGGCTGCATGACAGTGCCATGGGCCAGATCTGGCCCATAGGCCAGAGGCTGAGCTCCTCTGAATTAGGCTAACATCATATATGAAAACTGACCTAATGGGGGTTGGAACCCTGCTACATCTAGCCTTCCAAGGCAAAGCCTGCCTCCCAGGAGGACCAATAGTCAGGAGGGAGAAATATATGCAAGGCTTTAGGCTGTAGGAATGGAGAACTAGAATTCTAGTGGCTCATAGGAGAGAAAACACTAATCCTACACCAGGACTGATATAGGATGGGTGAGTCAGGTAAAGATGGAGGCTCACTGGCAGACCTATGTTATAAGGCACAGGTCTGCAACCTATAGCCCATGGGCCAGATCTGGCCCAAAAGAACTCAATCTAGTCTGCAAAGGTCTGTTCTGTTCCACGTTTTATTAACAGTGTGCTGATCCATAGTTGCCACCCCAGACATTATATCCGTTCTACCCAAAAGTAGCTCTAGAATTTTGTAAAGGGGAGCATACCACTTCTCAGACCACGGTCGGGAGATGGCAGAGGGAGGCATGGTTGGAGCCCCTCAGTCCCCGAGAGGCCAGGCAGGGAGCAGGTCAAGGAAGAGGGTGCCTGCCCACCACTGCCATTGTTTCCAACTGAGCTCAGAACTTTATGCAACTGCTCTCCACCGCTGGAGCAGAGCAGGAGTGGTTCTGGGGCTTCCCCAACAGCATAAAGTGTTGTAGAATCAGTACAGCATCAGCCTTCAGAGTCTTGAAGTCTGAGCCAATACTCTGGTGTTTTGAAATGAATATACTACAGTAATTTTCTAACCTGGGTTCTGGTTATAAAAAGGTCCTCCGTTCATCTGGTTCTGAAGGCTCGTCTGTGAAGTGATGGAAGGAGGACGCCTGTATGGCAAGGAGCCACCTATTGTTGGGGGGGTGTGCCGAGATGCAGGTCTGTTCATGCTGTAGAACTGAACAGGGTGACCTGGTTGGAAAGAAAGAATGGGGTTAGGCAAGAGAAAAGGAGGAAAGTCTGGCTTTCTTACACCTGCACCCAGTACTCGCTCCAAGGATTGAGACATTGTTTGGAAAATGTATGCCCAAATCTGAATTGGACAAATACTATTAAACTGCCAGCTCACTTGCCAGAATCAGTACAACTAACAAAAGCAAATACAAGAAAAAGGAAAGGAAAACTAAGTTTTAAAACAATAGTTTCCAGTTAGTGATGTTATATAATGTTTCACCAAAACAAACAAACAAACAAACAAACAAAAACAAACCCCCAAAGCCTACGCGGTCACTGAAGATCTCTTTCATACTGAAATAAAGTCTCACTCACAATTCAAATAAAGATGCTGTGTTCTGAAATCAACCAAATTATTCACAAGGTATCCATTAATCTAACTGAAGATAATATCTAAAAACTACAAAGATGATTAAAGATCCAGCCTTGGCACATTAGCTGCATCTCAGCCACTGCTTTTAGGAAATATGTACTGGATTATTTCTGGAGAATGGAAAGAAATAAAGGTCTTGCAAAAGGTGGAAACCTAATCTTTTTTCTTTAAAAAACACCCATCAAATGAATCGACTCCTTAAAAGCTGCTTCTTCATTCAAACGAATTCTAACACTGCAACACAAAATTTCTATATTAACTAACTGATTCTGATACCTAGTAAGCAGTATATGCTTACCCTGTGTCACAAACCAAAGTTGTGAGTTTTTGTTTGTGTGCGCTTCGGCACTGCTAAATTATGTTCCCGTTAAATTGCAGCTTCTTTTCACGGTGCAGTTTTCTGCTGCAGAGGAGAACTCCGGTGCAACGGAGAATTTTCCCGCCAAATTTGTAGCTTTCTTTGCATGGTGCATTTCTTTTGCATCTCAGAAATGCACGGTGCAAAGGAGTTCCCGCCATTTGTATTTTAATTCGAGCCCCATTATTGGCTTGTGCTGAATTATGCACACGTGGCGGCTAGCAATTGGCTTGCTAGTCGTATAAAGAGCTTGGGTGGTTTCCGCCCAAGTTGGAGAGAAAGCAATTGGAGTCCAAGAAGGAAAGCGTGAAGATCTCTAAGCGCTGTGGATCCTTACGAACCCAACGCATTTCTTAAGAAGGCAACAGAGGTCTAAACAGCCTCTGGCCTCTCCCCGTCGCCGAGCGCAATCCTAGACATATCCCTATCCTATATACTCAAGATCCGAACCCACAGAGCCCTAACAACTCCGGGGCCAGACAGCCGAACCAAACCCACGGAACTTCGACAACTCCATGGGAAAGAAATTGCCGAACCCGCAGAGCCTTAACAACTCCGGGGCCCAAGAACCGAATTTGTCGTAGTCCTCCAACGAGGATTTAAGCGGAGCTGAACCTGGAAACTGTCCAGCCTACACCACGACCATCTTGGGTGTAAGTAAATAATCTTTGAATCAACCACTACGCGTCTGTGACTAATTCTAGCCCATGCGTGCCTTGCCGCCGCACGGTCCCTTCTGACCCCGCGTGCCCAGGCTGCTGGCCACAGCCCGCGTGCGCAAAGACGGGTCCGCATATCGCTCCCGGCTCGCACATGGGGACATGGACGGGATCGGGAGGGGGACCGCACACCCTGAACTACAGCATAGAAATCACTGTTGGAAGGGTAGTGGTTTTTGTGAGTGATATCTTCTCTTGAACCAATCACATGGTTGGGATAGACTTAGACAAGCTTTCAAATGCTATGACCTGAAGAAGAATATGCTGCATTAAGAAGCTTGTCTAAGTCTATCCCAAACATGCAGCTGTTCCAAAAAAGGATATCATCCATGAAAATTCTTGCTTCTCACATTTTGGAAGATTACTAATTAAAGTTGAAAGTCATTGTCGTCTCACCTGACACCATTCATGAACCAAGACAGTTAATTTTCACCTGTATTTACCATATACTTAAGGTTTTGAAGAATAATATTGGTAGTTAACAACAAACTGGATATTTCTTCTGTTTGCAAGTTTTTATCCCCATAACACTATACATAGATCTCTCGGTTATAGAAAGTTCAGGAGAGAACGAGTGGAATGTTTTGTGGTTGGAGAAAGATGCCTCCAGGAGAACAGCTGGAATCAATCAAGACGCCACAGCATCTGATAACAGTCAGAACTGGTTTGGTCAAAATGCTATAAAAGAGGGGACATGAAAAAAAACTAACGTTGTAGACTACCAGTATCTAAGAGTAAATGTCTCCAGTATCCAAGATTAAACACCCAAGAAGTACAAGGTACATTAAACTGTAGAACAGTGACTGACATACTGGATGTTTCCTTTGCTTACATAATGTTCAAGTAACAGACTTCTTATATTTATAAAAAATAGAATATGTTTTGTTTCACAAATTATGCAAATTTTCACCCTTATGTCTTTTCTACAGAGCTTCTGTGGTGGGTCTCCCCATCTCCGGAAAGAGGAAGGAGGCGGCAGTCAGTGGGTTTGTTTTCTCCGAGCTGGATAATACAACATTGGTAAACAATGTAACTAGTATCCTTATATATTCCATTTCAGGGGAACTGAGTGAGTACTTGGCTGATATTTTTATTTTGAACTAAGATTTGAATGATGATCAGGTAAATAGAATTTCTTTTATAGAACTTTACAGGGATTTATAGTTATTCACTTCCATTCAATTCTGGCTATTTTTGTCATAAAACAAGAAAGCAGCAGGGATTAAGACTTACAGTGTTGTTATTTTTATTTACACATACATGCGCACATATATATCCCACCCCCAAAATCTGAAGGTCAGTTCAGCTGCTGGCTGATCAATCTTATTTGCTGAATGTACAGGTACTTCAGACATTAGGATGATTTGTTGGCACTTAGATATGTCATAGCTTAAAGGCTTCCAGGATCATGATAAGAATTCTATTACAGATTAGGATATAGTGATAAATACTGAACTTAACCCTTTAACTAAACACTAAAAGAACATGTTCTGGTCCTTTATATAATTCCTAAATAAGCATATCATAGACCAATGTTATTAAACACCAAAAATAACATGTGGCCCTCTGAAATCACTACAGTCAATGACTGCAAACAACAGGTATATAGTATTTGACGTACTGAAAATAAATCTTTATACCCCAATGCAGCATCCAATTAAAAAAATACCACGTGCTACAACTCAGCAAGTTAGAAAATGAAAAATGCAGGGCGCCTTTTTAAACATTAAGAAAGCTAGCAGGAGTTCATTCTGTATAAAAAACACCTATTGAACAAGTGCTTGGATAGAAATCCACTCACCGATTTGTGTATTGAAGTTTCTATTTCAGTAGTTATAATTATGACTTTTAACAACTAACGGAAAGCAGAATTTCTGGCCCATGACAAAGTCGCATACAACCCAAGTCATTAGATGCACCATTTCCATTCCAATATTGGAAGAGGAACAAAAAAGAAGCCTAAAAGAATTGTTGCTTTCTTCCTACACAGATGTTCCTCTGGGAGCTTGCATTATCCTAACTTCCACAAACATAGTATGTTATAATACACCATACAATCGACTGTGAAGGTACTTTGAAAAGCTTCAGATTGTGATCACACCTTGGCTCATCTGCCCATACAATGGAGGGGGGACTCACCTGCAGAAGGAGCGGAAGAAACAGCAGGGGGAGTTGGAGAGGTGAAGCCATCAGCAAGGGGCTGGGCTCCTGCAGCAGCAGCAGCATCTGGGGCAGCAGAGGAGGGGGCAGTAGCAGGAGGGGCAGGGGCAGGTGCAGAGGTAGCAGGAAGGGGAGAAGTGCCAGCTGAGCCAGCAGGGGCTACGTGAAGAGAGGAGGAAGAGGTGAAGTTAATAAGGAGATCAGGTTAGCAAGGATTAGAAAAGCTTCCCAACCATTCAGCGTTAGCTATTCAGCCAATGTGTAACGTATTAGAAAGTGCGAGGGGATGAGAGAAAAATGAAGTCTTTGTTAAAGAAAGGATCATTCCTACATATGCTGCAAATAAGGGTACTTGGGTTAAGCAAGCTTACTGTTGGATTTTAAGACCATAGATAGCTATTTATTGGACTCCTTACTGCAAGTCACTATTTTTCATAGATGGTGCGCCTCACTATACTGCAACCTGCAGCATGGCACTTCACCTTTTGAACAAAATCAAGTTTCCTAGCAGAGGGGAAACAAAGATTCATATGGCAATTTTGGCACAAAAAATTAAGATTTTTCAGAACACAATTTAGCCAAGTACATTTTTTCTATTCATTTCACGGAGGGGACTACAGAAGGCACTACAGATAATGCTCACCAGACTGCATGAGTGGAAGAGGGAGTATACATACAAGCTTTCCACGAAAATCATCTGTTTTTCATGAGTATACCGAAGGCTTACTACTGTATCTGTGTCAATTTTTTAAACAAACATTTAAATGTCTCCATGGACAGACTGCACGTGAGACAACATTATCTGCATAAAGGACTACTTTTTTTTTCCCCGAAACAGTTACCAAGACCTAATCCAGTCACATTTAGAAGCCTAGGCAAAACGTTTTGATGAACCACTGACATAAAATAAATAGGAAGCCATGTACTAGGCACGGGATCCACCATATATTTCCACACAGGGAAATTAGCACTGAAACTTTTTAGAATGTATATGGTCCTGAAAACTGATGCCAAAAATTCTCTTCATGCTTGCAAGATACCTAGCGTCAATGGTAAGTAAACTCCAACTTTAGGACAAGAAAGGAATTTGGGATTTCTGTTTACCTGGATAGACACTGGGAGGAGAAGGAGTAGGAACAGCAATAGGAACACCCACACTTCCACTTCCACTGTTCTCTCGACTGCTGCTTCGACTACTTGGGTGGCTCCCTCCACTGCTCCCGCTGCTGCTAAGGAAACCAAAATAACCAAAATATTAATACACCATTCCAGAGGGGGAAAAACATGAACTCCCTACTGGAGAACCTTGCTAATTCACACTAGTGACTGGGAAAACAAAGGACTAAAGAAGCGATTTAACAAAAACCTCTCCCCCCTGCACATCACTTTATGTTGAAGAAATAAGATAATTTTTCCTTTGACACTAGTAAATTTACACAAGTATATCACACTTTGGGAGCCAAGTATAAAAGAATGATGTCACTACAATGATAGTAAATTTCTGCTGAGTGAAGAGAATCCTCGCATTCCATACAGATTATAACAGTATGCAGTCTATGTGCTCTTACCTTAAGTATTATTTGAGGTGTCTTACTCTAATAAAATTTCCAGAATTCAATAAAGTCCATTTTTGTGTTTAGACAGCTACAGCATAAAGCTTATTTTAACTAATATGTCACAAGAATTTTAGCCCTCAGGCAGCATTATACTTCTCTGGCAATTCAAAAGAGTGATCAAATCCTCTAGCAGTCAGTGCCAAAACCACATATTCTATTGTATACAATGACTTTGGTCCATTTCTGGGTTCAATACATTTATCTTCAGACATATGTAGCTGTTATTACAGTTTTTACAGAACTCTTTAGCACTTTTCACCATAAAGTCTCAAAGCTTATTTTTAGGCAAAAAAATGTCACTTACTATGACCCACAAGCAAATGTACCAATTTGTAGTTCTCCAATGGACAGGATTCATTATATATCTACCAAGATGACTGAAAAGATTTAATGGTGTTATGTTACAAGACTGCCCACTAAGACTTCATTTTTTCAACTAATAAATTTTAATAGTACATTAAAAACTCTGCTAAAATTAAAATCATGTGGCAGCAAATGAACAAAGAATATTGTGATGCAATTTTCCTGATTTAACAGTGTCCACTTGCCAATATGTAAGGGTTTCCCAGTCACCAGCATGAATCTGCAAGGTTCTCTTGTAGGGTACCAATTTGGTTTTGCTTAGTTTTTAGTACTGGTACATCTTGTACAGATTACCATATAATGCTAACCACATTTTGTGCAGGAGTAGACTGAATACCTGTATGTGCGATTCCTCTGATTCACAGAAGCTGTTCTAACAGGGCTTTGTTGCGAGGGAGCCATATTACGTGTTGGGCTAGGTACATAGTCATTTGGTACCACTGGAGGACGCACTGGCTCCAGTGTGCGATAGGGAGAATGACGCCTACACAAGAAAAAGCATATGTACGGAAGCAAATTCAGACAGAATGCAACACACCCAAAGCTCTTTTACTAGACTAAAGTCAGTTACATAGAACAAAAAAAAATAAGGGACTGAAGAAATTGGTGGGGGGAAGGCTGGGGTTTTTGTTTTTTTACATGCCTGCAATATCCAATTTGAAAGATAATGAGAGAACTGAGGATGGTGTCACAAGCCATTACACACAAACTAAACTGATGTAGTAATCAGAAGGACTGTTGTTGCTCGGGACAATTCTTAAAAGATTCCATCATCTAAAACAGTGGTGCTCAACCTTTTAGCTATGTGGGCCAGATGAGTGGTGCAGAGCTGGCCAGATACTGGATCCAGCCTCAGAGTGACCCTGTGCACCAGCCCCACCACGAACCAATCATCTAGCTTGCAGGGCTACATTATGCAGCCTGCAGAACTTCACATGGGTCTAGAAATTTGGCAGTAGGGAAGTGGTAATTAACACTACCACAACTCCCCTGCTGCTGCCAAATTTCTGGAACCATGGGGAAACATGAGGGTAAGATGACATGGCTCCACAGGCAGGATCTGGCCCTTGGACCAGAGGTTGAGCACCCTTGATCTAAAGGAAAATGCAGATGTCAACTTCATAGGTTTCACTGGAAAGCAAGCATTACGTGTTCATAGCACGTATACCCAACCAGCAGTACAGTATGTCAGTTCTGATATTCCATTAGGTATTCCAAATAAATAGTACAATCCATCAGAACAGCACACAGCTAAGCCTTTACAAGAGAGTTAAAGAGCTAAAATGAAGAAAAACATTCATGAACAGACTTTCTGGTGACTTTCACTGTCTACTTTTATTAACAAGTCACCTTCAATTTAATTTAAGGCATCATCAGTATAACAGAAACTGATTCAAACTTCTCTTTGCTTCAAGTTTCATTTTTGGCTGGCGAGGAAAGAATAAGAGTGACTATTTAGAAATTTCTCTTGCCCTCCTACTCTCCACTAAAATACAGGGTACAGTAAAACACTCACCCAATAGTCCCTTTTCCTGACATTGGTGGGCTGGGTGGTTTCTGGGTAGGAGGCGTAGTACGGGGCAGCCCACCCATCTTCATATTCTGTGTACTAACCTGTGTAAAAGAATAAGAAAATGGCCTTTACTAAGGTTCAACATTTAGACAAGAGAGAAAGATTCCTTTAAGAATTAATTCTTAGAGGCAGGGGAAGGTTGAAACAGAAAAAAAAAAAGAAAAAGAATTGAGTGGCCATGCACTTCATATGCAATTTCTACTCTGCTAGAAGTCAACAGTTGCACTCAAAGGACTCTTCATTGTATAGGGTTTTCAAAGATTTGTATAGAGAGACTGCATTTGCCTTTAGGCCATCAAACAAACATTAAATCACTGGTAGTACTGATATTGTAGCTGATCCAATTAAGATACCCAATTATCAGAGCAACAGAGTTTCTCTCTCCCTCTCTTGTACTCCTTAGACAATAGCAGCTATTTCTGATTACACTACTGAATACTTTCAGTGATTTTTTTAAAAACAGAAAAGTACGGTGTATGTAACAAGCTACAATGTAGTAAGTAAAAGAACTAAAGATCTAGTAAATACTTAATTACTTTTATGCTCAAAGGGTGATGCATTTTTAGCTATTCTCATTCGAATACAAAATTATTTTCAAAGAGAAATCTATATTTTTTTAATGTTTCATATTAATATTTCAAACCAAGTCCGAAAAACTTAAGTCACATATGTACACTAATTTCAGTGAATTTGGCAAAATAATTCTGTAATGTATGAAAGAGGCAAAAGAAATCATGTGATCTTTCTGGCTTTCTTCCCTGGATTATTTTCTTATTTTTAATCTATAAATGGAAGTTATTGATACTTTATATTTCAGTCCTCAGTGTTGATTGATCCAGAAATCATTAATGCAACTACTACTTACAAAATCATAAAAATCTAAACATTCTGCTTGGATGTACAGACAATAAGTGCATGTACCAATAGATCTAATGAGTGAGGTTCTATTAAGTATTTTAAATACTAAAGCTATTTGTTATCACATAAATAGGATCCAGCAATCCAGGTCTAACTGAGGTTAATTGATTTTGCAGGGTTTCTCCCCTCCCCTAAATTATTAAATGCCTTTGATCCCCTTCTTGGAAATACAACATGTTTTATTTCACAAAGAAAAGTCTGTCTCATTTTGACAGTTATCCTTCCCAACAACTAAGTCCCACCCTGACCCACATATATGATTAAGGCCCAGTGATCAAGTTGTTAGTGATGTCCGAAAATATTCTTAAAGGCAAATTACGCCCTTAGAGTTTGAAGCTAAATCACTTCAAAAGTGGAGAAGTGTTTATTTTTGTTGCTGTTTAAGTAATGGTGTGGATTATTAACTAGTGTAAGGATTAATATACTGGAGTATGCTAACACACTGAAAGTTGACTTCTGTTTTCTAATACTTAGAAGATGAAAATCTCAAAGTGTTTGCAGCAGCTAGTGTCAGGATTTTCAGAATTTTTGTCACAAAATTCTCAAATATTCAGATTAGTTTCATTTAGGTTTGCAAATGTACCTTGCAAAGAATTTATGCAAACATCTTGCAACCAGTTTTATAAAGTCCTTTAAGCCAACTTTAAGCAACACGAATCTAAAGTTACTTCAAGTGAGGGTCTATATAAGCACTGAATTACATCAACTTGAATGAGCGAGGGAAAGTGTATGATGGAAAGAAAGTGCATTTTATTCTATACACGGAACATTGAAAAACAGCCCAAAAACTGGATTTTTTTTTAAAGTTGCAGTATCTCCAGCACCTAGTCTTTTTGTGTCAAAGACATCAATATTATACACTTACCTGTTTAACTCTTCTAAAACAAATATTCTTTATTAACTTTCAACCCCATGTCACTTCCAAGGCAGCAACTTCAAGCAGACCATTAAACCCTATGGGATGAATCCTCAAAAGCCTCCAGATGGGATCTGAGGTAGATACCAGTATGAGTGCCCTTTAAAGTCCAACCTAGATGTTTCAACTTCTGTCCTACAGGTTCATTAATAAAAAGGGACAGATGGGTGTAATGTTTCATAACAACTACTTATTGATTTACAGTTAGGTTCAGCCTTAAACACACCTTTCAACGCTTCTTTCAACTTTGAAGAAAGTTCATAAAATCATTTTTAAAATTACATTATTTGTATTACACCACCTAGAAAATATTACATTTCCATTATGCTTCTGGCTGCACACAGATGCAGAAAATACCCTCAAAAGTCTGCTGTTCATCCATCGTCAGTGGTGAACAAAGAGAAAAAACTGGGAGTACATGATGAACGAAGTAACCAAATAAGTTCAGCAGAAAATTGCTACTTAGCTAATCACTGCAAATAAGTTATCAGCATCACTAATGAAGATCCTTTATGTAAGACGGACAAGAAAGCTTTAGAAAAATGTGACTAAAGATAATACAAGGTTTTCTTTATTAATGACTAAGAAAGAGGGGCAGACAAAGGAGACATTCTCAACCAACACTAAAAATGAAAGACGGAAGTGCACCATTGCCAAATTAAATTTAGACTCTCCATGTGACAACTTTGAAGTTGTAATGTTGAAAGAAAAGGCAATCAAAGTTTATACAGCTGTCATATTTTACCAATCTGAAAGGGATGACTGATTTCATCTGAGCTAGTACTAGTTACATGGCCCTGTTAGAACTGCCTCCACTTTGACTTAAGGCCGAATAATCAAGAAAAATATAAAACTATTTCAACAATTCTGATCAACATGGACTGACCTTTGTCATCGCTGGAACAACACCATATAAAAGATATTGAAAAAGATTTCACATAACAAGAAATAAAGAGATGCAGAAAGGAAAGATACATTGGGAAATTGCATTAGTTACTACTTTAGCCAAGATGAAGCCAGATTTCTTTTTCCAGGAAAGACATTACTTTCAAGTCCCTACTCCTCATCTCTGCAAAAATGTCTGGTATCACAAACAGAAAATATTCATTTGTCAATACTATGAAAGTATTTACACATCAGATGCCAGCTCAGTTTTGAGTGTCCTTTTTGAGCGTCACACAGTTTCCTACACAAGTCCTCAACTCTGACACAGTAAGGGAATTAGAGTTAATCTAAAATTAATATCTTACTAATAAGAAAATGGAGGGTCACTCAAAACCGCAGAGACCTTTTTTTTTTTTTTTAAACACCTGTGTCCAATACATTTAATTTCCAGAGTAACTATATTTTCTAAGGGTTTAATTCTATCACCCAATTAAGTGTCTCCCAAGGAGAAGTATACTATTGTTACCACAGAACATTTTCACAGATCCAGCTCAAGGGATGTGTCTGTGGGTCATTTGCTGGTTTCTATGGCTGGACTTGGCAGTGTCTGTAGTTGGTTCCCTGTTTATAGTTTGACTGTCTGGCTGGGGGCTATATGGAATTAGTTGAACAGCAGCTTTGCAGCTAAGGGTAGAAGGGAGGCTTTCTGCTTTTGTTCAACAACTGCCAGTTAAGTACTAAACCTACAAGGGGGACCAGGACTCACAGACAAAAGGCTCTAAAACCCAGGTAGACAGTAGCCAAGAGAAGACACACTGGCCTCCCTGGATCAAGTTAATTTAAGGTGCCACCCTGCCCCTCTGCTTAACAGAACAGTAAACAGAGGAGCCTCTGTAGGACAGAGGTGGTAAGAAAAGGGATTTTTTTCCTTAATTCAAGGTAGAGATAAAAAGGTAACTGTTATGGTGACTGAGGTAGCAATGAAAAAGATCCAAAGAACTGCAAAAACAAAAATACAATGGGAAGCAGCAGCTGTACAACATGCATTCCCCTTAACGGGGTACATAACAAAAGCCCTTTGGGTTTGTTTGTTGGGGGGTGGCAGGGTTGCACTGCCTGACAGAATTTAGGGAGGAAAAGATTTGAGGACAATAGATACAGTAGGAGAAAACAGTGGAGCTCAAATAGTTTTGAGGGCAAGAAGGAGGAGAGGGGAAGAAAGGCTACACTGACAACTCAAGATTTGCAGACCCTGCTG